TACTGTAAACAGTGAAGGATATACTGTGCTACTGTAAACAGTGAAGGATATACTGTGCTACTGTAAACAGTGAAGGATATACTGTGCTACTGTAAACAGTGAAGGATATACTGTGCTACTGCAAACAGTGAAATATTTATTGTTACTCAGTAAATATTGAATTATATTCTGTTATTCTTTCAACAAAGAAATATATAGTGTGATACTGTAAACATTGAACTATATACTGTAAGAGTGTTAAGCAGCTAATTAAATGTTGACATGCTTCTCAAAAACGGTTTGAAATCTAAGACTGTCTCTATATAACGAATAAGGAATGGCTACTTACAATAACCGCAGGACATCGCACAGTTGATATCCATATAATCCGGGTTTATGTAACACTCCCCAGTGGAAGCCCAGTATCCGCATTGGTCGTTACTGTCGGAACAGCCTAGGGTACAACCAACATGTATGTATTACTATTCGTGTCAAAACAATTGGGAATACATCAGAAAAGGCCATGTTAATAATAGATATAAGCTTACCTTCACACAACTCGACACTTTTGTCCATATATTTACATATTCATATTGTTGTTTCATGTCTACGTATAGTTAACGTAACTTAGTGAGTATATTGTACTGCCATATTACTATTTTCCGATGTTCCAAATCTGAGACGTATAGGTGAACACCACTCACCTAGTGCATTTCAACTGTAGACCTACATCTCAGAATGTCGAGCCTTCTCCAGCGCCTAATGTCTATTCATGTTAATCACAAACACCTCCGGGAAATGGACCATGAACAAGTATTAACAAGTATTGTAGTGGATAAGAACAATATAAAGATCCATACAAATAACCGTGAGAGACGTCGGAACCAAAAACAAAATTATCACAGAGGGACTAGGAATTCTAAAATAAATGGTAAAACCACTGGAAGTCGAAAAGAACATTACAAGTGTAACAATTAAGGATGCCCCAACGGAAATGTCTGATTCCACCCTGACCACATGTATGGGTCAATTCGGCGAAGTAATTAGCGGATCAGTCCGGCGTGGCTTGATTAGAAACACTACCGTCGAAAACGGTACAAGTTATGTGCAGATGCTAAGGTGCCAACCTACCCTCCCTCTGGCAACTAACATGGGAAGACGAAGGAGCACACGAGGAAGAGATAACCACAACAGATCAAGAGCCTGAGGACGAAGTCATTCAAACTGCTTCGGTTACTGAGACACAGACGGACTCTGGGAAGTGCGTGTTGTTAGGTGCCTCAAACTGTATGAGGCTTCCGTTTACGGACAACATCATCAACGCATCAGTATCAGGTGTATCGTTTGGAGACATCGAGAAAGACAGAGAACGCGAAAAGGTTAGTAGAATTAGATGATAACACTATTGTTGACAAAATTATAATATCACTGGGTACCAACGATATTACAAAGAGTAAACAACACCTTGACAACGTAGTAATCAATGTCACAGAGGCGCTTACAAAAGTAGAAAGTGCATTTCCGGATGTTAAAGAAATAGGAGTGTGTACAATAATCCCGCGCTACGGCAAAGGAAACAATGCGAACAATAGAAATGAACATACGCAGACTGTCAACACATTCCTATCCACGTTATGTCAACGTAAGCACAAACTGTTCTCTACAGACACATGGAGTGCTTTTCTGCATCATGGTCTACCAGCCCGCTCGAGATATGCAGCCAATAATCCCTCAGGTATCCACATTAGCGAAGCAGGAGCTGAGAGCATGATACGACTGCTACTCGAATTCGCTCACAGTGAATGTATTCTAGATATGCATAAAACCCCTAACCGTACTGGTAAAACTAAAAAGAGAGTTTTAAGTAGTCCATCAACACCCACTGGCAGCGAAAAACCACGCTCGAAAACGAGCAAACGAGAGGACGATACTTCTACTTCTACTTCTAAATGGAACTGACCAACTTCAACAATTTGAAGATAAAATGTCAGACGAGGAGTGAAACATGGAAAGAGAGTGTTTTTAAAAGATACGAGATGGTCTAATTTGCGTTTGAATGGTGACGGTAGAGGGCTGATTTGAATAATTCCGTTGTGGGGCTCGAAATAATGTCAGGTGGGAGTTTATTCCACTCGGGTATAGTTCGAGGGAAGAATGATGCCTTTCTGGTCTGGGTTTTTGAGTGGGGAATTTGATACGAAAACTGGTGGTTTGTTCGGGATTTTCTAACTGTAGGGATTAATCTGTCTGATTTTACGATAGCGACTTTCTGGTTTACAATGTTATGAAGCATGGTCAGACGAGCATCTCTACGTCTATCTGCTAGAGGGCGCAGCTTTAGGTGGTCCAACATTTCTGACACACTGGAGGTACGATGGTTGTACCTGTGCTTATTGAGCACATAGCGCGCTGCCCTTCGCTGGACCATTTCCAACTTGTCAATATTTGTTTGGGTGTGAGGGTCCCATACTGTACAGGCATACTCAAGTGATGGTCGAACTAATGATTTGTATGCCTGTACTTTGGCTGATGTTGAGCCAATTTTAAGATTTCGTCTTAAAAAGCCTAGCGTAGAATTTGCTTTTGGGCAGATAGTATTTATATGTGAATCCCATTTAAGGTCAGATGACAGTGTTACACCTAGATACTTGGCCTGACTAAGATGTTCCAGTATGTGTCCATGTAAAGTATAATTATGGACTATTGGAGTTTTGATAATGAGAGTCAGGAGCTTACTAATACCACTTCGTAATTAACACATCGTGACTTTATATATATATAATACCTCGTATTAGTATGTATAGTGTGTGCCTACGAATTGGATCCAAAGTGTCCTGTACTTGATCATTGATAGTATATTCATTAAAGTATGTATGTAAGTATGTATATAAACTGTTTTCCTTATCCATACACCCTATTATGCAGAACGGCAATAACTCTTACTAAAGGTAAACGGGCTTAGAGACCATAAGAAAAGATACAAAATGTTCCAATGGATCAATACACAAAAGTATCAAATTATTTGTTTACAAGAAACACATTGTACAAACCAAGACATGGTGAAATGGAACTTAGAATGGAAAGATACTGGGGGTCGAACAGTAATAGTATATTGAATAATGGTACGTCAGAATCAAGAGGAGTAGCAACATTATGGAAAAACAACCTAAATTTAACAATGACGGAAGTTAAAGGGACAATGAAGGCAGAGTCATATCCTGTATATTAGGATCCGATACAAAGTCAATAAACATAATTCATGTATACTCACCCAATAAAGGACATGAGAGAAAATAATTTATCAAATCACTTCATAATATCTTTGAAAATAATTATAATTCCAAAACAGTTGTTATGTGAGACTGTGTAAAGGATAGCGTCCCTTCTCAAAACAATGATTACATAGGTAACGTAGACTTCAAATCATTTATGTCAAATTTTGAGTATATTTGGAGAAGCGTAATGCAGTTGCTGAAAAATATACTTTTGAGAGAGGAGTATCCAAATCCAGAATAGACTTAATCCTTACAGAAGCACACATCAACAATTTCATCATAGAAACAAACATTACACACTGCCCTTATACATGTAGCCGTCACAATGCGTTAATTAGCAATGAATGAAATCCAGAGAGGTAACTGGAAAACCATAAAAAGTGATTTATTCAGTAATGCATTTGAAATTAGTTGGAACCGCTGGAAAGAAGAGATTAAAACACATGATAATATATTGGACTGGTGGGAAATCATAAAAACCAGGATAAAATCCTTATCTATAGAAATAGGAAGAAAGATTAGTATACCTGAAAAGGAACTTACACAAACTGAGCATGAACTAGAAAATATAGTCAACAAAACTTCAGAGGAACAGGCCACACTAGAAAGGATCAACAAATAAAAAATAAAAATAAAGATTACCATAGCAATAACGCTGATGCAACTAGAGTCAGATCAAGAGAACAAACATACGAAGAATATTATGTATGTTATATGGAATACTTTAATCAACGATTTTCATAATTTTGACATTAGGACCCCACATGAACCCTTAGTGGACCGATGGCGATTGCATGCAACATATGTTTACTGTTTTGTCTTTTGATTTTTGGATTTATTGAATAATATTTCTTGTAGTACATACTGTAATACTGTAAACAATGAAGTGTATACTGTGAACAATGAAGTATATACTGTGAACAATGAGGTATATACTGTAAACAATGAAGTATATACTGTGAACAATGAAGTATATACTGTGAACAATGAATTATATACTGTAAACAATGAAGTGTATACTGTAAACAATGAAGTGTATACTGTGAACAATGAAGTGTATACTGTAAACAATGAAGTGTATTCTGTAAACAATGAAGTGTATACTGTGAAAAATGAAGTGTATTCTGTGAACAATGAATTATATACTGTAAACAATGAAGTGTATACTGTAAACAATGAAGTGTATACTGTGAACAATGAAGTGTATACTGTAAACAATGAAGTGTATTCTGTAAACAATGAAGTGTATACTGTGAAAAATGAAGTGTATTCTGTGAACAATGAATTATATACTGTAAACAATGAAGTGTATACTGTAAACAATGAAGTGTATACTGTGAACAATGAAGTGTATACTGTAAACAATGAAGTGTATTCTGTAAACAATGAAGTGTATACTGTGAAAAAAAAGTGTATTCTGTGAACAATGAAGTATATACTGTGAACAATGAAGTATATACTGTAAATAATGAAGTATATACTGTAAACAATGAAGTATATACTGTGAACAATGAAGTATATACTGTAAATAATGAAGTATATACTGTAAACAATGAAGTGTATACTGTGAACAATGAAGTATATACTCTAAACAATGAAGTGTATACTGTGAACGATGAAGTGTATACTGTAAACAATAAGTGTAGACTATGAACAATGAAGTATATACTGTAAACAATGAAGTGTATACTGTGAACAATGAAGTATATACTCTAAACAATGAAGTGTATACTGTGAACGATGAAGTGTATACTGTAAACAATAAGTGTAGACTATGAACAATGAAGTATATACTGTAAACAATGAAGTATATACTGTGAACGATGAAGTATATACTGTGAACATTGAAGTGTATACTGTGAACAATGAAGTACTGTGAACAATGAAGTATATACTGTAAACAATGAAGTATATACTGTGAACGATGAAGTATATACGGTGAACGATGAAGTATATACTGTGAACATTGAAGTGTATACTGTGAACAATGAAGTACTGTGAACAATGAAGTATATACTGTAAACAATGAAGTATATACTGTGAACGATGAAGTATATACTGTGAACATTGAAGTGTATACTGTGAACAATGAAGTACTGTGAACAATGAAGTATATACTGTAAACAATGAAGTATATACTGTGAACGATGAAGTATATACTGTGAACATTGAAGTGTATACTGTGAACAATGAAGTACTGTGAACAATGAAGTATATACTGTAAACAATGAAGTATATACTGTGAACGATGAAGTATATACTGTGAACATTGAAGTGTATACTGTGAACAATGAAGTACTGTGAACAATGAAGTATATACTGTAAACAATGAAGTATATACTGTGAACGATGAAGTATATACGGTGAACAATGAAGTATATACTGTGAACATTGAAGTGTATACTGTGAACAATGAAGTACTGTGAACAATGAAGTATATACTGTAAACAATGAACTATATACTGTAAACAATGAAGTATAGACTGTAAACAATGAAGTGTATTCTGTAAACAATGAAGTATATACTGTGAACATTGAAGTGTATACTGTGAACAACGAAGTATATACTGTGAACATTGAAGTGTATACTGTAAACAATGAAGTGCATACTGTGAACAATGAAGTATATACTGTAAACAATGAAGTGTATACTGTAAACAATGAAGTGTATTCTGTAAACAATGAAGTGTATTCTGTGAACAATGAAATGTATACTGTGAACATTGAAGTGTATACTGTGAACAATGAAGTGTATACTGTAAACAATGAAGTGTATTCTGTAAACAATGAAGTGTATTCTGTGAACAATGAAATGTATACTGTGAACATTGAAGTGTATACTGTGAACAATGAAGTATATACTCTAACCAATGAAGTGTATACTGTGAACGATGAAGTGTATACTGTGAACAATGAAGTATATGCTCTAACCAATGAAGTGTATACTGGGAACAATGAAGTGTATACTGGGAACAATGAAGTATATAATGTAAACAATGAAGTATATACCGTAAACAATGAAGTATATACGGTGAACAATGAAGTATATGCTCTAACCAATGAAGTGTATACTGTTAACGATGAAATATATACTGTGAACGATGAAGTGTATAATGTGTACAATGAAGTCTATACTGTGAACAATGACGTATATACTGTAAATAATGAAGTATATACTGTGAACAATGGAGTATATACTGTGAACATTGAAGTGTATACTGTAAACAATAAAGTGTATACTGTGAACTATGAAGTATATACTGTAAATAATGAAGTATATACTGAAAACAATGAAGTATATAATGTAAACAATGAAGTATCAATGAAGTATATACTGAAAACAATGAAGTGTATACTATAAACAATGAAGTATATACCGTAAACAATGAAGTATATACCGTAAACAATGAAGTATATACGGTGAACAATGAAGTATATAATGTAAACAATGAAGTATATAATGTAAACAATGAAGTATCAATGAAGTATATACTGTGAACATTGAAGTATATACTGTAATCAATGAAGTTTATACTGTGAACAATGAAATGGATACTGTAAACAATGAAGTGTGAACGATGAAGTATATACGGTGAACAATGAAGTATATAATGTAAACAATGAAGTATCAATGAAGTATATACTGAAAACAATGAAGTATATACGGTGAACAATGAAGTATATGCTCTAACCAATGAAGTGTATACTGTGAACGATGAAGTATATACGGTGAACAATGAAGTATATACCGTAAACAATGAAGTATATAATGTAAACAATGAAGTATATACTGAAAACAATGAAGTATATACGGTGAACAATGAAGTATATACTCTAACCAATGAAGTGTATACTGTGAACGCTGAAGAATATACTGTTAATAATGACGCATATACTGTGAACAATGGAGTATATACTGTGAACAATGACGTATATACTGTAAATAATGAAGTATATACAATAAACAATAAAGTGTATACTGTGAACTATGAAGTATATACTGTAATCAATGAAGTTTATACTGTGAACAATGAAGTTTATACTGTGAACAATGACGTATATACTGTAAATAATGAAGTATATACTGTAAACAATGAAGTGTATACTGTGAACAATGAAGTGTATACTGTGAACGCTGAAGTATATACTGTTAATAATGAAGCATATACTGTGAACAATGAATTATATACCGTGATACTGTCAAAATGAAGTATATACTTTGATACTGTAAACACTGAAGTGGATACTGTACTATTGTAAACAATGAGGTATGCACTGTTATAATGTAAACAATGAAGTATATACTGTGAACAATGAAGTATATACTGTAAACAATGACGTATAAACTGTGATACTATAAACAATGAAGTATATACTCTTTGATGATGTAAACAATTAAATGATTAGGTTTATATCCTTTCTTAAATACAGCTGGATGAATCGAGAAATTCTTAAAAGTTTGGTCGGCAAATTCTATGCTTTAATCACAAATTGGATTCATATCACGATTTAGTGTAAACTACTTACACGTTCCGCATGAATACTGGCATGTACTATGCATGTACGCCGGGTTGCTGTTACACTCGCCGGTGGACGCCCAATACTCGCAATTTTCATTGTTATCGTAACAACCTGGGACATAAAACATATGTATACATGCTATTGTAATTTTTATGTCAAAGCAATTAGGATTAACAATATAATACAGATCTAATCAAGACACAAGTCTGTCGCTCGCTTTGACGTGGAATTTATATCAGTGTTTGATAGCTCCTGACTACAATGTTTGCAACACATTTTTGGATTGTGCTTCTGAATGCGGCTTGTGGTTTCGTTTTGAGGACGTGACAGTACTTTGATTTAACCAATATTTTAATGGGAGCCGTCGATAATAAGGTCAGGGACGCTTACTGCTCCGGAACACGTGGTCTTGCTCCCGTTAGCCGTTTTCAATGGTCCCTACGTGAATTATTCGTTTGTTAATTGTTTGTCATAGTTTTATCTATTATAATGTCGAAATACCGGGTTCATTTCGAGTGACCTTAGAAAAACCCATCAGTACCTGATGAATAAAATGGCCATATGGTTAATTGAAATGTTGAAATCTAGGATTCCCTTCTTCGTCTTTCTAGTGATTATTTTCCAACACAAGTTTGCTGACTCTGCCGGTGGAGTATCAGTCCCCGAGGTTGGGTGGGCTATCAGTCCCCGAGGTCGGCCGTACTATGCTGGTAGACTATCAGTCCCCTAGGATGGGTGGGCTATCAATCCCCGAGGTCGGCCGTACTATGCTGGTAGACTATCAGTCCCCTAGGATGGGTGGGCTATCAGTCCCCGAGGTCGGCCGTACTATGCTGGTAGACTATCAGTCCCCTAGGATGGGTGGGCTATCAGTCCCCGAGGTCGGCCGTACTATGCTGGTAGACTATCAGTCCCCTAGGATGGGTGGGCTATCAGTCCCCGAGGTCGGCCGTACTATGCTGGTAGACTATCAGTCCCCTAGGATGGGTGGGCTATCAGTCCCCGAGGTCGGCCGTACTATGCTGGTAGACTATCAGTCCCCTAGGATGGGTGGGCTATCAGTCCCCGAGGTCGGCCGTACTATGCTGGTAGACTATCAGTCCCCTAGGATGGGTGGGCTATCAGTCCCCGAGGTCGGCCGTACTATGCTGGTAGACTATCAGTCCCCTAGGATGGGTGGGCTATCAGTCCCCGAGGTCGGCCGTACTATGCTGGTAGACTATCAGTCCCCTAGGATGGGTGGGCTATCAGTCCCCGAGGTCGGCCGTACTATGCTGGTAGACTATCAGTCCCCTAGGATGGGTGGGCTATCAGTCCCCGAGGTCGGCCGTACTATGCTGGTAGACTATCAGTCCCCTAGGATGGGTGGGCTATCAGTCCCCGAGGTCGGCCGTACTATGCTGGTAGACTATCAGTCCCCTAGGATGGGTGGGCTATCAGTCCCCGAGGTCGGCCGTACTATGCTGGTAGACTATCAGTCCCCTAGGATGGGTGGGCTATCAGTCCCCGAGGTCGGCCGTACTATGCTGGTAGACTATCAGTCCCCTAGGATGGGTGGGCTATCAGTCCCCGAGGTCGGCCGTACTATGCTGGTAGACTATCAGTCCCCTAGGATGGGTGGGCTATCAGTCCCCGAGGTCGGCCGTACTATGCTGGTAGACTATCAGTCCCCTAGGATGGGTGGGCTATCAGTCCCCGAGGTCGGCCGTACTATGCTGGTAGACTATCAGTCCCCTAGGATGGGTGGGCTATCAGTCCCCGAGGTCGGCCGTACTATGCTGGTAGACTATCAGTCCCCTAGGATGGGTGGGCTATCAGTCCCCGAGGTCGGCCGTACTATGCTGGTAGACTATCAGTCCCCTAGGATGGGTGGGCTATCAGTCCCCGAGGTCGGCCGTACTATGCTGGTAGACTATCAGTCCCCTAGGATGGGTGGGCTATCAGTCCCCGAGGTCGGCCGTACTATGCTGGTAGACTATCAGTCCCCTAGGATGGGTGGGCTATCAGTCCCCGAGGTCGGCCGTACTATGCTGGTAGACTATCAGTCCCCTAGGATGGGTGGGCTATCAGTCCCCGAGGTCGGCCGTACTATGCTGGTAGACTATCAGTCCCCTAGGATGGGTGGGCTATCAGTCCCCGAGGTCGGCCGTACTATGCTGGTAGACTATCAGTCCCCTAGGATGGGTGGGCTATCAGTCCCCGAGGTCGGCCGTACTATGCTGGTAGACTATCAGTCCCCTAGGATGGGTGGGCTATCAGTCCCCGAGGTCGGCCGTACTATGCTGGTAGACTATCAGTCCCCTAGGATGGGTGGGCTATCAGTCCCCGAGGTCGGCCGTACTATGCTGGTAGACTATCAGTCCCCTAGGATGGGTGGGCTATCAGTCCCCGAGGTCGGCCGTACTATGCTGGTAGACTATCAGTCCCCTAGGATGGGTGGGCTATCAATCCCCGAGGTCAGCCGTACTATGCTGATAGACTATCAGTCCCCTAGGATGGGTGGGCTATCAGTCCCCGAGGTCGGCCGTACTATGCTGGTAGACTATCAGTCCCCGAGGTCGGCCGTACTATGCTGGTAGACTATCAATCCCCGAGGTCGGCCGTACTATGCTGGTAGACTATCAATCCCCGAGGTCGGCCGTACTATGCTGGTAGACTATCAATCCCCGAGGTCGGCCGTACTATGCTGGTAGACTATCAATCCCCGAGGTCGGCCGTACTATGCTGGTAGACTATCAATCCCCGAGGTCGGCCGTACTATGCTGGTAGACTATCAATCCCCGAGGTCGGCCGTACTATGCTGGTAGACTATCAATCCCCGAGGTCGGCCGTACTATGCTGGTAGACTATCAATCCCCGAGGTCGGCCGTACTATGCTGGTAGACTATCAATCCCCGAGGTCGGCCGTACTATGCTGGTAGACTATCAATCCCCGAGGTCGGCCGTACTATGCTGGTAGACTATCAGTCCCCTAGGATGGCTATAACCTTGCAGCTTAAATTCATTCTGGTACGTTTAACATGAAATACTATAAGAGAATAAATTATCGGTTGTATTGGAAAAAATAAATATGTGTAACGCAATGAAGAATTGGATACGCACGTTTTGCATTTCGCGGACTCTATTTCTACATGTTTCCGATTACTGTGACTTAGATTTTCATTTTTAGATGTTTTGTACCACTGCGGATTTCCAATTGAAATAGTTATATACATCTTTAATTTCTGACAGTTACATTTGACAGAAAAGGAACTTACCGCCAAGGTACTCATAGGGAACGCTGTTTCTTTTCAGGGTTTTTTCTTTCGCTATATGTAAATGAACACAATACAAGTTACTTGAAATGCTTGTATTTTGTATGTTTAATTGACTGAAAGTGTTTTACTTATGTATACATTATGCCAATGTGTCCCCGTAGACATGCTGGATAACTGTAACGCATTGGCCCCTGGGAAATATTACATGCTTTAAACAGACTAAAGCCAATTAAACCATGGCGTCTACATATTGAAAACATAATATAACCCGTGGAACCATATGGTATACTATTAAAAACATAATATAACCCGTTGAACCATATGGTATACTATTAAAAACAATATAACCCGTTGAACCATATGGTATACTATTAAAAAAATAATATAACTGAACCATATGGTATACTATTGAAAACAATATAACCCGTTGATCCATATGGTATACTATTGAAAACAATATAACCCGTTGATCCATATGGTATACTATTGAAAACATAATATAACCCATTGAACCATATGGTATACTATTGAAAACAATATAACCCGTTGAACCATATGGTATACTATTGAAAACATAATATAACTGAACCATATGGTATACTATTAAAAACATAATATAACTGAACCATATGATATACTATTGAAAACAAAATATAACCCATTGAACCATATGGTATACTATTAAAAACATAATATAACCCATTGAACCATATGGTATACTATTGAAAACATAATATAACCTGTTGAACCATATGGTATACTATTGAAAACATAATATAACCCGTTGAACCATATGGTATATTATTAAAAACACAATATAACCCATTGAACCATATGCTATGCTATTAAAAACAATATAACCCATTGGACCATATGGTATACTATTAAAAACATAATATAACCCATTGAACCATATGGTATACTATTGAAAACATAATATAACCCATTGAACCATATGGTATACTATTGAAAACATAATATAACCTGTTGAACCATATGGTATACTATTGAAAACATAATATAACCCGTTGAACCATATGGTATATTATTAAAAACACAATATAACCCATTGAACCATATGGTATACTATTAAAAACATAATATAACCCATTGAACCATATGGTATACTATTGAAAACATAATATAACCTGTTGAACCATATGGTATACTATTGAAAACATAATATAACCCGTTGAACCATATGGTATATTATTGAAAACGCAATATAACCCATTGAACCATATGCTATGCTATTAAAAACATAATATAACCCATTGGACCATATGGTATGCTATTAAAAACATAATATAACCCTTTGAACCCTATGGTATACTATTCAACACAGAACATAGCCTATTAAACAATTTGAAATAATGTAAAACGAATGCAATACGAAACAGTTGGGAAGTATCATGAAACGAATAATAGCACATCAAGCTGCCGGGAGTGGGAAAGAAAAGTAACAAAGTTAATTGTACAAAAATAGGTGCACATTTTACCCTAAGATAAATCAATGTAAATGTTCACCTTGTCTGAGATTCTTCTCCTTGGTATCCCTAGCCTTTAGGACTTTACTCATCGCCTCTACAAAATTGAGCTTAGATGCCTGACCTTCCTTGTCGGCAAGTTGGTGACTATCGACGTTCATCAGTTTGGAGGCGTAGATAATCTGAATCAACTGAAAGTAATTATCAGAACTCTATATGATGGATGCCGATCCTAGATTAGGGAGGTATTACTGGGTTAGGATACAGGATTGTTAATGTTTTACAAGGTCAGTTTCAAGACAGGAGCAGGTTTTAAAGAGTGCTGATTCACAACAAATAGATTGTACTATTTGTGGAGATATAACAGTGTGGGGATCCGAGATGGAGAAGATTTGGCAAGTCGCGGATCCAGGACAGAAGAGATGTAACAAGCAGCGGACCGAAGATGGCAGAGGTTTCACAAGGTTGAAATCCAGAATATAAGAGATTTCACTGGCTGGGTGCAGATCATACATGAAGGAGGTTTTACATGGTAAACATTCTTTGTGTATTTCTCCTTTCTCGTGGTACATATATGTTTCTGTTACAACTAAAAAGTGCCGAAACTTATTATTCCTTGTCATAATATATGTCGCGTGAGTGTTATTTTCCACCTATTACATTTTTATTTGGTGATCCTCTGAGACATTCGGTAAGTTTAAGAAAACATTGCATGAATGGTGAAATTTTATTTTGGTTGTGTAATAAACAAAAAATATACTGATTACGAAGTGTACACATATATCGAAAAAGAAGAATGACAATTAATCAAAATTTGTAAACTTGTTGAATGTAAAACTGGAGAAATGCACAGTCTGACCCTGGATTCGCACCCGGGACACTCAAGACGAACGCTCTAAAGTGTTGAGCTACCTGGTTCCGGGCAATCGATCCTGTACATATCCGCTGCATTCTTCCCTCCTTTTTTAATTGGCACCGAAACACAACAGTATTTACAATCCAGGTTTTGTTATCCCCTTGCCATTACCCCATTCACCCAGAACTTACACCACTGTAGCAGGAGAGAGACTGCCTGACTGCGATTCAAACCCGGGCCCCACCGAACTTTCGACGAACGTTTCACCAATAAAAGGTCACTGTATGGTATAAAATGCATACGCCTCACCAAAATGTAGTAGTGTGGTTGCGATTTGTTTAAGTGAAACTACTTGACATACGCGAACAGCATGGTGATAAACAAGCAAAGAGGGAGGCGAACGACAGGAGGGAGGTAATTCGGTTAACAGAGTCACCCTATGCTATGTGTGTACAATTATCGCCTTGCGTAGATGTCTAACATAGGACGGACTAGATTAAGGTAAAGGGTACAGATACATCAGATATAATTGCAACAAAAAGCGTTCCACTCAAAGTCTTTCAGTCTATGAATATTATCCATACAGAAGATGAAGCAAAAAATGTGTTTTCTATGGCTTAGAGTAACTTTCCCCGTCAAACTTTTTGGCATTGTGCCCTTAAATTTGACGCTCGTGTTCTTTACTGTGCTGATATAACTCATTGATTGAAACGCTGGTAACGTGTTGGGTTTGTCATGTAAATGTCCTGAGTTAAACCTTTCCAATTTCCTGGGTTTTTTAGTTCTATTTCAAACATCCATACTTGGAATTACTATAATTAGGTCAAATGCATTATAACGTGTGTTTTTTTTGGAAGACGTCTTTTGAAAAGGACTGAAACAACTGTTTTAAATTATTTGTATCTATGACCTTTACCGTAATTTGGTGAAATATTGCATATACAGACAAAAAAATATATATATATATAGATTTATATGTACATATATTTAAACGGTTATTGAAAAAAAAGTTAATTTTTGTAATTTTAGTAAAACAAAGTAAAGATAGTTTAACAATTCAGACTGAAGAAAATGATAATTTTGTAGCAGACCAAGAGGTAATTTCGCTCAGAATTTGACAAGGATGTCGACTCGCCTATCTAATCCATGTAATTTTTATTGCGATTAAATAAAATAGAGCCGCTAGGTTAGCGAGCAAGAAAAAGAGAAAGGAAGAAAAAAACGAAAAGCGAGCAAGAGAATACACAAAAAAATAAGCAATAAAAGAAACAACAACAAAACGCAACCAAACAAAAACAAAAGACGGAAACGAAAAAACCCAGTGCATAAGTACGAAATAAGAAACTATTTAAACAGAAATATGTTGCTTGTGTAGACAAGAAAAATTAATGCTGCAATACGAATTGAAAATAAAAACATTTAAACACTTGAAATTTGAAACATTTAGACGTCTAAAACAATGCAATTTTAATCAAACCGATACCTAACGTAGGATATGACTATTGACATCGAATAAATCAATTACAGACCATGTACATTTTTATAACGTGTTAATAACATATGATGGACATTGATTGGGGGAAAACAAATCACAACACTGTTAAATTGATGGAAATAAGAGGAGACAACTTGTGCAATATTCGTTATGTAAAAGAGAACAGAACTATGCAGTTTTACTTTAAATATTTTTTAAGCTGTGTTTTGTGAAGCAAATAATAATCAAAATAAGTCAACAAACTATAGAAATGCAAAAATACGAACATACCGACAGCAAAATGGAAGACTACCAGACAGCTATAAACTTACCACTGCGATCAGCGCCACTGTTATCCCGGTACCCGCCATGTCTGTCTATTAGGGATGCTGTCGGAACACTGTGTATCAGACCACAGGATTCCCATGTATTTTATACTGGTACACTGCGACAATTACATATGTGACATCTGTAAATCTGTGTAAACTTTTACGTAATTGTCTATTATGTATCATTACGTATCTACAAACATTTTTGAATGTCAAACTCAAATAAAATTCGTTGCAAATATATAAAAATGAGGACGGAGATAATTGCCTTGAATTCAACTGTCAGCACAATACCTACTTCTGATATTTAAAGGGTTTTCTTAGTCTAGCGTATTGTTCTTTGATGGTAATTTTATGAGTATATTTTTATACGCCCGTCAAATTTGACGGAAGTATTATGGTATGACGTTGTCCGTCCGTCCGTCCGTCCGTCCGTCCGTCCGGCCGGCGTAAACTTTTGTTTGTCCGGCAATCTCCTCCTACATTTTTCGACCGATCTCTTTGAAACTTAGTAGGCTAAATAATCATGGTACGAAGTTGTGTCTACCTTAACAGAATTTTGATTCGACAATTTTACCGAAAGCTATTGTCCTTTGTTCATTTCAGTATTTGATTTTTGTCCGGCAATCTCCTACATTTTTCAACGGATCTCTTTGAAACTTAGTAGGCTAAATAATCATGGTATGAAGTTGTGTCTCCCTCAACAGAATTTTAATTCAACAAATTTTGCAAAAGTTATTGCCCTTTGTTCATTTCAGTATTTAATTTTTGTCCGGCAATCTCCTCCTACATTTTTTATCCGGAAATTTTCTCCTACATTTTTATAGCATGGCAGCTAACCACTGCCGATCATATTTCTATGTAAGAAAGTATATAACACTATATGGAATTCGACGGGCGTATATTATTCCGCCCCGCGCTACTCTTGTTTTGTTATAAAGCGTGGACGTTTCATGTTCATATTAACTTATGTCGTTCATGACTGGGTCCAAATCTTACTCCTGTATTATTGTATTAAGTTTTTTCAATTACAAATTAAATAAAGCAAAGTAACACACGCCAGCAAAACAAAAACAAAAAATACTCCACAAAACTCGAATGTGTTTGTGGATACAAAGAGACAGAAGGTGACACCAATACAAATATGTTCCCTCGGGAATAAGTAAGCTTCCGGTTCGATGCAAATATTGTCGTGAAGTTGATATTGATACAGTTCGATACATTGAATTTAAAATAAAATCTTTTCAAGGGGCGTTTGACACAATACTACGATAGGCAGTTTGTAACATACCATAGGATATATAAAAACAGTGATAGTTCATGGTTGTGAAGGCAGTGATTCTTAAACATCCCAGGGAAAGAAGATGATTCATTATTCAAACATATGTCAAATGAACTTTGTACTTTGTACATGATGTTGATATTGGCTTTTGTCTACTTTTATTAGAGATAATTGGAATAGTTAGCTGTGTGGTTTGGAGGTACAATCAAGTTATTAGAACTAGCTATAAAGTTAGACCGTATGATTTGATTCGATGATTACGTGGTTCTTTCAATGTAATACATTAGGTAATGTCAATTGCTTTATTGGTATTTCACATACTGGTATTCTAACGTATTATAGAACGGATGTGTCCTTTGGACATGCCAATTTTTCCCATTACTCTGACGAGCATGAAGTAATGACTTCCTTTTACATTAATGACAAAGTCGTTGAATGACGCTCTCTTAAAAAGCTCGAAAGACTCAACCACTCTGAGCCTGACGATAGTACACGATAAAAGCGTGTTCTTGTTAATATATTATTGGGAAACGATATATGTATCCGTGTCAACAATGGATAAAATGTATTTGTAACGTAAGCGTCTTAAACAAAGTCTCAATGCAAGTGCATCCTAGCTGTTTAAACAAATGTGGGGGATATGGTTTGGTTTGGTTTGGTTTAGTATTGTTTCACGTCCTATTAACAGCTATGGTCATTTAAGGACGGGGTAGATATAGTTTGAACGAGCAACGAAAAGCAATTGAACCACAAAAAATACATTTGCACAGCAGAGATATTTGATGTAAATGCATTTAAAAATTTCAAAGTAACGTTAAACAAATTATGTAGAAATGAATCGATGACCCAGAAATTTCCAAATATCCTCCCCTGGCCGAGACATACCAGATTCTGTAAAAATGGTAGTTTCTACTCCTGCTTAACACTCAGCAATTTAGAAGTGGGACGACTGGTTCGCCCGTTGTCAGTATAATGTGACCGGGTGGGGTGTCCTGCTGGGTGTCTTAGGCAGTATGTTTCGGTGAGGTAGCACTATACAGTCGGTATCAATTCCGCGCTATTACAAGGAGACAGACACGAACATATCGCAGCCTCCCAAAACACACACGCATACTCTACACTGCATCTTGCACACAGGGGAGTCGTCCTTGAATGACCATAGCTGTTGATAGGACGTTAAACAATACTTAACCAAACCAAAACAAACCATCCAAATAATCACCAAACAAATATGAGAGAGTTTTCCGTTACATCCTCAGGGTAGAGGATACTTATTTTTCTTCGTTTCTAATATTTCTTATCACAACTCCATCGATAGTAGTCTGTCATGTTTGTAAAGAAAATTGCAAGTGGCATATATAAATTACCATTCACATTTTGTAACGTAACAATGTAGCGCGTGCTGTTTTGTACGAGGCTACATCCCCTTAAGGGGATTGGGGTGTCAAGCTGATCATTACCGGCAAAAGTGGGAGACACGCCAGTGAAGGGTAGGATAAATACTAATTGTACGTCATTACGTTTCGGGTTCGTATGTGTATGTTGTTATCATTTTCGTGTCGTTGACATATACAATTGCTCAAGTGGGTTGCATTGCAGTTTACATCATCTGACATGTATGACAAACTTGAGGAAATGAATATACAAAGTTCATGTTTTTGTGCTCAACGCAACGTACTGGCCTAAAGGGTGATGTAAAAATTATGATAATCGACGCGACGTCATGACCATTTTACCAGTGCATTGAAGACAATGGGCACAACGCAGAAATGACGACGTTGATATAATGGCTAGAAATAAACGAATTAAGAAAGTAATCTATTTATAACGTTTGTATGTCCATTAAGAAAGTCAAACAAAGTAAATATAATTGGTACTATATGACCATTTCAACTATTGAGGACTTATCAGGTGTACCAAAGGCTTAAAGTATGAAAACAGCGTCGGAACTGTTCCAAAACATATCTAGAAGTAACGCGAATGGGAAAAGTGAATGTCAACCATTAACACCGTAACCTTTTGGCTACAACAGTTAAATATTTCTTTAACTAGTATCTCACGTAAAACCGTGAAAGAATAGACATGCGGTATCTCATGGCATTGTAAGAGGCCACGGTGGCCAAGTGGTTAAGGCGTCTGACATTCTGCTACCACTAGCCCTCCACCAATGGGTCACGGTGGCCAAGTGGTTAAGGCGTCTGACATTCTGCTACCACTAGCCCTCCACCAATGGGTCACGAGCCTACGCGGGGCAGTCCATATTTGTTTGGTGATTAGTTGGATGGTGTGGGTTTGGTTTAGTATAGTTTGACGTCCTATCAACAGCTATGGGCATTGCAGGACGGTCTCCCCTGTGTGCAAGATGTATGCGTGTAGTGTATGCGTGTGTTTTGAGAAGCTGCGATATGTTCGTGTTTCTCCTTGTTATAGCGCGGACCTGATGCCGACTATATAGTGCTACCTCACTAAAACTTACTGCCTGACAACCAGCAGAACACCCTATCCGCACACATTATAGCGACAACGGGCGAATCAGTCGTCCCACTCCTTAATTGCTGAGCGTTAAGGAGGAGTAGAAACTACCATTTTTACAGACTCGGGTATGTCTCGGCCACGGAACAGAACCCAAAGCCTTCCTCACAGAGGCGAACGCTCAACTATTGTATTTAAAAATATCAGTACATCGGGGTTGAGAATCCATTTCATCTGAGTGTAAAAAAACTCTTTTTATAGATCCAATGGATGTCATTGTGGGATACAGGCAAGTTGGATTATTCCATTCAGACATCAGTTTCGGGAAAAAACTGGCATTATATAACTGAGTTCTTGGTATAGGAACATCAAAAATTCTATTGTGGCGAAGATGATAATTGTCAGTATTATCATTAATGTACGGTTGAATTATATCATAGACATGAGAGGGACATTTCCTATTATATATTTTATAAAAAGTAATATTTTGATGCAAATGTCTTCTTCTATTAAGTGTTATAAAACCAGATTCTCTATATAAGATAGCATGACTTGTTCCACGTCTTAACCCTAAGATAATACGTGCTGCTTCTAGTTGGATAGACTCCAAGACACTGCATTCATTCTGCGTGCAGTTTGCCCATATAATATTTGCATATTCCAGAATTGGACGTATAAATGTGATATATATAGTTTCGAGTGATTTTCTATCAATTTTGTATTTCAACATTCTAAGTATATTAATTCTTTTATAAGCTTTTTCGTATATATAGTTTATGTGGTTAGACCAATTAGCCTTGCTGTTGAAAAACAAACCTAGGTGTTTATGATTAGAAACATTAATAATTGATGATTCATCAAAATATAGGTTAGGATGCAGTGTCTCATAGTCAACCCGCCTCGAGAAGAGCAGGGCTACAGTTTTATCTGGATTAAAGATAATTCCCATTTTCTAGCCCAGATTGAAATTTTCCTTAGATCATCATTTAATATACTAGCACATTCTTGCCTGTCTCCCTCAATGAGACCATATAAGAAGGTATCATCAGCATATAGTTTGAAGTTTGAGGCCAATTCATCACCAATATCATTAATATATAGTAAAAACAAAAAAGGACCAAGGACTGAACCTTGGGGTCCCCCTGCCTGTAATGTTTTCCAATTAGACTTATACCCATCTATGACCACTCTCTGTTGCCTATCATGAAGGTATGATGTGAACCATTCTAACATATTATTACATATACCATATTATTTTAGTTAATAAATTAGACCGTCATGCCAAACTCTGTCAAAGGCTTTGCTAATTACACAGAAAATCATTCTGGCCTCTTT